AGTTAACCCATGCTTGGATTCTCCAAGCATTGCACAACCTTATTAGTTGAGAATTATCCATCACCCAGAACTAAGTTTCAGCTCTTTAGCAAATTGTGAAAAACACGCTTAAAGACAGCTGGTCATTTGCCTCCTTTCAGAAGGTCGTTGAGGCCACTTGGAGGTTTATCTCTGTCCTCAGTTGTCCCAAAAGGTGCTTTTTCAAGATAGATTATGTCGTAGCCCCTTCATTTACACACCCATTCGCACCACTCCGGTGACCCTGAGGACACAGATGAGCCTCCAAGTGGCCTCAACGACCTTCTGAAAGGAGGCAAATGACCAGCTGTCTGCAAGGAGCCATCAGTCCTCCCATTTCTCACCATCCACTCAGAGTTGATGAAGCTCCTTGGATGAGAAGTGAAACATCTTCAAAGAAATACCAGAAGGTCCAGTTGCCTCCTGAAAAAAAAAAAGCACTTTTGGGACAAACCGAGGACGCAGACAAATCTCCCAAGAGGCCTCAACGGCGCTAAAAGAATTCAAATGACCAGCTGTCTTTAAGCGTGTTTTTCACAATTTGCTAAAGAGCTGAAACTTAGTTCTGGGTGATGGATAATTCTCAACTAATAAGGTTGTGCAATGCTTGGAGAATCCAAGCATGGGTTAACTTTGTCCATTAGCTTAGAGCAGTGTTTTTCAACCTTGGTGACTTTAAGTCCTGTGGACTTCAAGTCACCAAGGTTGAGAAACACTGGCCTAGAGAATCCAAAACAGCTGGATCTCTCAAGGAGGGAGGTGTTTTTTTTGTTTCTATTTTATTTTTACAAATTTGCACAGCTGAGCTCCTGTTTTTTTGACGTGTCCTATTTGGATTTTTTTTGTTTTTCCCTTTTCTTTTAATGCTCCGGGGGGAAAAAAAAAAGTTGAAAGATTGGACTGCAAAATTGGGGAGCTGCGACCAGGAAGGATTAAAAAAGAGAAGGGAAGCTGGCAGGGCGAGATAAAAGCTTAGCAGAGTCTCAATTTTTCTTTTAAGCTCTGACGAATGAAAAGGGAAGCGTAGAGAAGGTTGAAAGAAAATTCATTAGCCGGGATGGAAATGGAAATTTCAAGAGTATTTCCCCAAAATCTGTTCTGCCTTTTTTTCAGTGGTTAGAGCCATGCTTCAATAAGATCAAAAGCAAAAGTGAAAAAAACACCTTAGGATACAGGTAGTCCTTGGCTTATGGCTACATTTGAGCCCCAAATTCCCATTGCTAAGAGAGGCAGTGTGGAATGAGTTTTGGCTCACTCTACGACCTCCCTTGCCACCGTTGTTAAGCGGATGACTGCGATGGTTCAGTGAGGAAGCTGGTTGTTAAATGAATCTGGCTTCCCTGTTGATTTTGCCGGTCAGAAGGTCGCAAAAAGGGACCACGGGACACTGCAGCCGTCATAAATATGAGTCAGTGGCCAAACATCCGGGATTTCGATCACATGACCCCGGCCGGGGATGCTGCAACTGTTGGTTGTAAGCGTGAAAAAGGGTCGCAGGTTTTTTTCCAGTTATGTTGTTATGTTCAAACCGTCACTAAACAAGTCATTGTAAGATGAGGACTATCTGTATCCCTAGACTTCCTTCAATGGAGATCCCACCCATCCAGAGAGAGGTGGAGAAGGTCTTTACCAGGCTTTGCCTTTGTTATTTTGAGAGGCAGTGCAGCCTAGTGGTTAAGGCAGCAGCTCAAAAAAAAGCAGGAAACCGTGAGTTCTAGTTCTGCCTTAGGCATGAAAGTCAGCAGGGTGATTTTGAGCGAATCACAAGGAGAGAGTGAATTCTAGTACCACTTTAGGCACAAAAGACAGCTGGGTGATTGGCAACCAATCACTAGGAGACGGTGAGTTCTAGTCCCATTTAGGCATGAAAACCAGCTAGTTGTCTTTGGCCCAATCACCAGGAGACGGTGAGTTCTAGTCCCACTTAGGCATGAAAACCAGCTGGGTGACTTTGGGCCAATCACCAGGAGTCTGTGAGTTCTAGTCCCATCTTAGTCATGAAAGCCGGCTGGGTGACTTTGGGTCAGTCACCAGGGGATGGTGAATTCTAGTTCTTCGTTATACATGAAAAATGTATTTTAGTTATGACTTAAGCATGAAAGCCAGCTGGGTGACTTTGGGCCAATCACCAGGAGACGGTGAGTTCTAGTCCCGCTTTAGGCCTGAAAGATGACTGGGTGACTTTGGACGAGTCACTCACTCTCCACCCAGCCCACCTCACAAGTTCGTTGTTGTGGGGAAAACACGAGGAGGAACAAGTGGTTTGGTCTGTTGGCCCCCTTGAATTGTTGACAAGAACAATAAAAGGCCGGATAGAAATAAAATAACATGGAAGAGGAGTGGACTTCAACTCCCAGAATCCCCACGTCAGCGGAATTCTCCCAGAGGATTCTGGGAGTTGAAGTCCCCCCCCCCACACCTCTCCTTCCAGTGGCCTAGGTTTGAGAAACACTGAAGTAATAAATCAACAACCCCTTCAAGCTGCGCGTGTTCAACCCTGACTCTTAACTTTTCTCCCTCTTTCAGGATTGTGAGCGTGAAGGAGACGCGCCTGACCACATTGGTGGCCAACTCTCTGGTGGGCCTCTCCCTCCTCCTCCTCCCTTTCCCTCTCCAGCTCATCCCGAAGCCCGTCCTGTACGGGCTCTTCCTTTACATCGCCTTGACCTCCATCGACGGGAACCAGCTGTTTGAGAGGGTGGCCCTTCTGCTCAAGGAACAGGTAACTTGCAAATGTGCCGGCCGCTTGGTCCCTGCAGAGTGACGGCCAACGCCGTTTCTGCATAATCCCAAGTGGATTGCGTCAGGTTGCAAAACACGGCTGTTTTGTGTCAGGGTTGCAAATAGCATCCAAAAGTAAATCAGAGTCCAAGGCAAANGCCTGTTCCCAGTGTGCAGGTGCGCAGAGCTGCCAGAAGGGAACGGCTCAGAAATCAGGGTCGTCTTGGGAGTAAGGCCACAGGTGGACGGTGAATGGCCCCTCCCAGAGGACATAAACAACTTCCTTCCAGAAGTCGTGAATGCTCCAACACTGGAAGTTTTTAAGAAGATGCTGGATAACCATTTGTCTGAAGTGGCGTAGGGTTTCCTGCCTAATCAGGGGGTTGGACTAGAAGACCTCCAAGGTCCCTTCCAACTCTGCTATTCTATATTCTATTCTAAAACACCTCACAAAAGTTATTCCTGGCCAAACACCCCAAGTACCAAATCTCCACAGCCGATTATCCACTCTCAGCCTGAGTGGCTTTCTTTGAACTCGCCCGTATAATTCCTCGCTGAGGACCAAGCGTGTGTTCGCAGATATTAAATTGTCTGGACGATTCTAGTCCACAGTTTAATTTCGCTCTCATGGGTGGGAAAAGGCATTCTTCCTGAGGGGTTGGGTTTTTTTTAAAAAAAATTGTTTTTGAGGGGAAGAAAACTTTTATCCCCCCCTCCCTCAATTATTCTGGCAGCCGGCAAAAGGGCTGCCTGATTATCGAGGGCAGGAAGGACCGCTGACGGACAGACAGATGTAAAAGGGATGAGTTTGACTCACAGGTTTTTGGTTTTTTTTTAAATGCTGTTATTTTGCATTTTCCTCATTCAATGGCGCAAACAGCCCGGAACATCTGCTTAGGACCATCAGAGGTTGAAGGAAATCTAAAATATTATCCACGGATCACCTTTTCCGCAGGAGGAAGGGGGGGGGGAAACCGGTTCTCCGAATGACGTGGGTTGGAGATGGGTGGACAGGGATGAAAGGGAATTAAGGAATCTCACACGCCCCCTTTGCGGGGCTCGCTTTCCGCCCTTTTGGGACCAGAAAGGGGCGAAACCTCTGGAGATGCCCTGACCTCACACACACACACACACACACACAGAAGTTTCCGTGCTTCCCTGTTGGAAAGCCACCACCTCTTTAATTTTAATTTCATTGTTTTTGCCTTTCCCTGGGAGGAGGCACAAAACCCACCTCGAATGCTAAGAGGGAAAGGTTGCCTTCACATCTGTTGGTTTCATTTATTTTTTTACCTCTTTATTTGCATCCTGCCTTTATCCCTGCTTATACATCGCTCAAGGTGGGGGGAACCAGGCCTAAAAGGTCTTCGCCTTCCTATTTTCCAGCACAACAACCTTCTGAGGTGGGTTGGGTTGAAAGAGAGGAGGACCGGCCCCAAAATCCCCCAGCTGGGTTTCAGGCCTAAGGTAGAACTAGAACTCGCTATCACATGGTGATTGAGTTAAAGTCANACTCAAGTGCACTAGAGTGAAATGTCAAGCTAATACAAGTTTATAAGGTCCATCCTATTAAGACCACCTCACCTGGCCAGCCACTGGTGGGTTTACCTGTGGACCCCCTCCTGCCTCAACCTCTCCCCTCAGGGTCACATGATCGCATTTCAGACATTCAGCAGCCCCCCACCCCACCCCCACCTACAACTCTTTGCGGCATCCCACACTCACGTTATCACAATTTACAACTTTTATACCTGGAAGCAGGTTTTACTTCAGCATCTCCGCTTAACGACCGTGGTGTTCCCTTTAAAACCGCTGCAAAAAAAATAAATAAATACTAAAATCATATCAAGCATGACAGCCCGCTGGGCTCAATTACAGTCGTAAATTGAGAACTACAGGGATTAAAAATTTCCCCAAGTCGTCCGAAAAACACAAAAAAAGAAGAAGACTAATAACACCGTGCTGTTTCTCTCTCCTTCTCGCTCAGATACAACCTGCTCCCCAGCATCATCGAAGCGAAATATTTAGACGCCATGGACGCCGAACACTAACCGCGCGACCATATCCATCCTGGCGACGTTTTGGTCTTCCGGATCAGAAAGGGAGCTGCCTGAACGACCGACCCCGAATCGCTCGTTTGGACGTTGGTTTCCTTCTGCGACCTTCGTTTTCTACTGCACTACAACTCCTACCCAAATTCCTGACTCCATTGACCGACCAAGTGCCGCCCCCCCCTCCCCCGTTTTCAGGGTGTGAGGAGGAGGGAGGGGAAGAGGCACAAGCGAGGAGCGAGGATACCTCTCCCCTCTTTTATAGACGGATCGCTAGAAAACGCTCCGGATCCCTTTTTTTTCGTTGGACATGAATTCTATGCAAATTTCGGGAGCTTCGTCGTTCGGCCTCTCGTGGTCCTCTGACGTCCGTCGTCTTCTGAACGAGACATCCTCCCCCCCCTTGTCCTCCCCCGAACAAGGAGGTTGCCGGGAAACACCAAGATGTCCTCCCCGTGGAATTTTCACCCTCTCGTTCCATCGGGGGGGCCGCCTTCGCATGTGGCGAGGGTGCGGAAGCGCGTTTCGGCGGAACCCAGAACCCCGCCGTAGGAAAACAAGACTTGCTTCGGAAGCTGCTTTCCGTACCGCCGCGGTGACTTGGCCTGGCGGCTTCTCCTCCGACGTGCATTATGACTTGAGCCTCCCTCTCTTTGGCCTCGGGTATCAAGTACTAACTTCCCTGTACATAATATATATAGCGGATCTCGATTTTCTGTATATATTTTGCATATCAATACCGTATCCCTGGGTATCCGATGCCTGTTTTTTTCCCAGGGACTAAAAAGGAGTTTTGTGCAATCAGTGTTAACTCGTACTGTAACCGCCCTCGTTCTTTTACCCCCCCCCCTTTTTTTTTATTCTTACAGACTGCTGTTTTGTGTTATTTTTCTGTCTCTCCTTGTTTACATGGATTGCTGACATGAATTTGGGGGTGGGGGGATTGTTGGTTCTGGCCTTTAATTCCCATCTCTCGGGATTGCTGCTGGCGTTGGAAAATGGTGGGGTAAAAGA